GAACTTGCCCTTGGCGATGGCCGCGACACCTCTGGCAGCGGCCGCGCCTCCCCCAGGGAGAGTACGAGCGACAACGACTACGACGAGCCGCCATGTCGCTGCGCCCAGACCAAGGAGGAGGGTGAGGCGCCACGCCACCGGGCCCCTATCAAGGAGGAGGACTTCGACTGATCGTGGTAGCGCCAGAGCCGAGCCTCGGGAACAGTGGCCCTCCGGAGGCCGCTCCTTTTGTTTGTTTTCTGCTTCCTGCATCCAAAACCATGAAGGGCCCCACGGGGCATGTAATGAACTATGGCGCTTGCGTCTTTTTATCACTGTTTCTTGCTCATATTATAGCATCTACGTGGTTACTAATTGAAAGATTCCTGCCTGGCGTGATTATGATAACTTAGCTCGGTGTGCTCGCGACCCTTGACGGGTCCCTGCGTCGTGGGGGCATGCTCCTCCGGAGCCTTGACCTTGGGAAGACCCCTGAGGTCCCGAGGGGAAGCTCGCGAGGTTCCGGGGCTGGTTTCTCGGGGAGTGCTCAGGATCCTGCGTTGTTTGTCCCACTTTCTGCTCGTGGTCAGACTCTTCTTCTATATGCTGATGGCATGATCATCTAAGTACATTGCCTTTGAGAACATGTCTTACTGAACAGTTTCTTATGTCTGATCTTGGACCTCTTCGCTACTTTCTTGGGATTGAGGTTTCTTCTATCTCTGATGGCTTCTTTATTTTCCAAGAAAAGTATATCCAAGATCTGCTTGCTCGTGCTGCTCTTACTGATGAGCACATTATCCAGATTCCCATGGAGCTCAATGTTCGCCTCCATGCTTTCTAATGGTGACCCCATGTCTGATCCAACGCGTATCGTCATTTTGTTGGGAGTCTTGTCTATGTAGTTGTCACTTGTCTGGATATCTCCTATCCTGTCCATATTTTGAGTCAGTTTGTTTCTACTCCCACTTCGGTTCACTATATCACCTCCTTCGGGTTCTCTTCATGGCACGATCCCTCGACATCTTTTCTTTCCCTGCTCCAGTTCGTTACAACTTCAGGCCTATTCGGATGCCACGTGGGCTAGTGATTCCTCGTATCAACGTCACTTTCTGCTTACTGTGTTTTTCTTGGTGGTTCTCTTATTGCCTGGAAGATGAAGAAACAAACTGCAGTTTCCCGTTAGAGTGAAGAGACTGAGTTGCAAGCTATGGCTCTTTTGACGGATGGTTACTTCACGAGTTTGGTGTTTATGTTACCACACCTACTCCACTTTTGTCTATCAGCATTGTACGCGACCATGTGAAGTATGAGCTCACCAATCATATTTGTGTTGATGCTTCTTTGTGCATGTTGGTGTGCATGATCAGGTTATTGCTGTTCAGTATGTGTTTTCCTAATTACAGTTGACGGATTTTTTTACAAAGGCCCGGAGTAGAGCGCAACATGGTTTCTCTCTCTCCAAAATCAGGTGTTGTTGATCCACCCTGAGCTTGAGGGGGGGGGGGGGATTATATATTTTCCGTGTAATATCCCCATTGTTTAAGGGTTTTCCTGCAAATTTACCACACCTGTACATGTATATATATCCCAGGAAGTACAAGTTGCTATTTCCCTAACAGGAACCACATCATCCATTTATAAGGACTACTTAGACTTCCTGACTGAACCTGGCTTATAGATTGACAGGACTCACCTAGAAGGATTTAACCTGGTCACCTGGACAAGGACGGCTAATTGACTACTTACACACCGGAATTCACTTCCTAATTCCATGGACTTATCTCTAAACCAGTTCCGAAACTATTATTCATGGATACAATCTAGGTGTCAACTTCTCCCTGGAAGCTGCAAGCTGGCCGCTAGTATTGGTCACATCCTGCCCCTACATGTATGTGCTGTTGCTGATGCCCATGGCCTATGTCCACAAACACAACAATGAAATGGATGGTACGACCCGTTCTGGCACTGATCCAACTGCCTCATGGATACAAGCATGCACAACAAGAGACAACAGATATAGCAGCTTAAGAGCATCTACAGCCGGGCGCCTCAAACAGACCACAAATGCCCGGGCGGACCGCCAATCACTGACCGGTAAAAAAAAGTGACCCAGACGGCGCCTCAAACGCCCGGGCTGACCGGCACCCCTCATATCCAGCCTAAATCTTGGGCAGACATGGGAAGGTCCGGGCGCGACCGCCACGTCGGACTAGACAGCCCGACTCCACTACAAATTGCACCAAATCCACCAAACCCACCGCCCTCCTCCCTCCCACCAATTCCCGTGTCCGATCCCTTGCCATTGGCCACCCTTGCTCCCCCATCCTCGCCACCCTAGATGTCGCCCAGCCCGTCCCCCACCGCTGCCATGGAGGTTGTGTCTGCATCGTCCGTGGGCCTCCCGTCCTTGGCTTTGTCCTGCAAGCCGGAGAACGTCGCCCAGAGGGGCCAGCGGTGGAGGCAGCGGGAGAGGGAAGCGGCGTCGTAGGGAGCGGATGCGGAGACAAGGGTCACACCGTCCGACCCCAGTTGGGGAAGAGGAGACGGTTGGATGGGGGCACAATCCGGAGAGTTTCCCGGCAATGCAAAGGGCTCCAGGGGACGTCTATGACTCGCCGCCGCTCGTTTGGTCGTGTACAGGCCCGGGCATCGGCTGCCCACGCCCTGTTCGACGGAATGACATAGCAGGACTACATTTATTTTGCTCCTCTTCCGATCAACTTTGCATATGTGATGATCAATGTTTTGCATAGACCTTTAGTTCATTTGAAACCATGATAATTGTAGGAATTGGTCATGTCGGACATGATCAATGGTAATTATGATCAGATCCAAGCGCAGTATGAGTTGGGGGATCCAACTTGTCCTACGTTTGAAGTAGGCAGCACATCAAACCCCAATCCGAACAAGAAAAAGAAGGGAAAGATGCCCAGGCAAGAGGTCCAGCATTCACAACTTTTGAGACATCTTGTTGGTTAAATCTTGGTTGGCCACAACATTGGACCTCATACATAGCACGGAGCAAAAAGGCAATCAGTATTGGGAGAAGATCCACAAGCACTATCATGAGCATTATGTGGAGCCGCATCCTATCGCCACCAACCGCAATGTGGCATCTCTCCAACATCGATCATCGATCGGGGATAATTTAAGGGGAAATGAACAAATACGTCGGCTACTATGCACAAGTGCTTGGCCGCCCTCAAAGTGGGATGGGAGCGTCCACTCACATAAGCATAATCACTTCATTTTGTCATAGTTTAGATTGCTTGTATTTTTTGTTGCATTCTCATCGTTATACATGCATTGTTTGCTAGACAATGGTGGCAGCCACTATGTATCAAGAGACGGAGAAGAAGACATTCGGTTTTAGCCATTATTGGGTGCTATTGAATGGCAAACCAAAGTGGACACAATTTGTGGCCGATCTCAAGGCCGGCAAGAGGAAGAATGATGGCTCAAGCTCCCACCAATCAATTGGGTTAGACGATGAAGAGGAAGAAATTGTAGGGGAGAATGGAAGAGCCACCATGGCAAAGGATAACCGGCAAGTGATGGGAGACAAGTGGGAGAAGGCTAGGGCCTCTCGTGATGCCGCGGCTACAAAAATGTCCTCCACTTGTACGGGCATTTTTTCCGTAAGGGAGAACAAGAAAGAGGAAAGGTACAAGCTCATGTTGGATGCACAAAAAGAGAGGATGGATTGGGACCAGGAGAGGGCGTTCAAGAAGCTGCAAATTGAGAGAGAAGATCGAGTTGGAGAAGAGCGAAGCGGTGATCAAATGGGAGATGGAGAAGGCCCAGACATTTGGAGAAATTGAGCTTGAGAATAAGAGGTTGCAACTTGCTCGAGACGCGGAGGGTGCCAAGGTAATGTTGACAGAAGAAAGTACCTTGGATGAGCATGCAAAGTGGCTTGTGGGAATGAAGGAGATCAACGAACGTAGGGACTATGAAGCAAGGATGATTGCGGAGCAGGAGACAAAGCTGGCCGCGGAGGAGGAGGCAAGGCTGGCCACAGAGCAGGAGGCATGGATGGTCCGATGAGTGATCCGGCCAGTGAGTGATCTGTCACGCTCGGACTTCAATTTCATTTTGGCATGTCCGGACTGTCAAACTATGATTTATTTTGCTTTGTCGCATTTGGTAAATTGTTGAATTGTGATGAATTTGTGCTCTATGATCGACGTGCATGCATTGCATGGATTTGAGGATTCACATATGAGGAGTCCCGCTGTCCGGCAGGCCAAATGAGGGGCCGCCCGGCGCCATCTACAAATGCGCCCACGGGCATATAGGGAGCCGGATTTGCCAAATCCAGCTGTAGATGCTCTAATAGGAACGGGTCGGAGACATTAGCATATCTGCAATCTCTATCAACTTTGCAACATTAGCATATCTGCAAATGTGCAGAAAACATAATCCCCATACCAACATGCCATTCCAAGAAGAAACAAACAAATAAGGCTAAAATGCCTTATAGGATCTTGAACATTTTTGAACAGTCAACAAGCATAAACTTATACAACAAGATTAATAATATGGGGCTGTATATCCATCAGATGAATGAAAATTTTCAAAACCTCAACTTTTGTGTATTAGTCCATAATACTAGAATAGAAAAAACAAAATCAATACAGTATTTTATAAAAGATAAAAATAAATAATGACTGAAACAAAATATATATTTACAATATATAGAATTTCCGGAGTAGTTTTACTCTGATAGAGAAAAACAAGTAGAATATTATATATACGGGATAAGAACTAAACCAGGAAATTTAGTTTGCAGAAGTTGCACACACTTTGTACAAACTTTGCACTATGCCGTAACATGCAAGAACTAGTATAAAGAGTGCAGTTCAGGCCAACCAAGGAGCAATTTTAGGTGGCTCAGATTTACGGAAATTTCAGGCAACTGAGAATTAGCAAATTCGTAATAATATACCTCTTTGTAAATTCTTGCTGCAAGATAATAGTTCCCGTTCTTGAATGCCTCATGCGCTTTAGATTTTGCACTAGTAAGCATGGCTTTCTGAAACATTGAGAGCAACCAAATGATATAAAAAGATTCATTACCACACCTAATCCCTTCCCACATGTTATAACTACTTTCTCCCTGAATCAATGCAATATCTCATCTCAATATCTACCATGTATAAAGTGGTCATGAATATTAAACCTCCTGTCACGCGGTTTATCCATAAAAATAATAATAAAGCTTAGTATCCCCAGTTGGAATAATTGTTTGATTTGTTTCAACTTCTGCATGATTCTACTGTGATCCAACCCAAATTACTGATAGAAGTTAGTCTGACTTATCTCAAATTCCCACATTTCAAATGTTCTCTTATCTGCATTGCTGATGACCCCATTTTCCATCCTCTACATCCCCAAGGACAACAAAGCCTTCAGTCACAAGCAAGTTGGAATAGGCTACCTCTGCAGAATCCCCGCAGATCATAATCTCATCACTTAACTAGTATTTCTTCGCCAATTTATTAGACATTATTTTACCTTAGTTGTTAAATGCTCATCTCTGTCCAAACTGATTTAAAATCAACACGGGGTGTTAACCCTGGCTAGGTTAGTCCTTACAAGACTCAGAAGAGTTCAAACACATAACCACAGGGATGCCAGTAAATCACTATGCACGTTGCATAATTACAAACCTAACATGGAATGTGCCGTCAAAGTCATGTCAGAAAGACTATACGATTTACAAGCTTAACAGAACAGATCAAGGTAAATATTTAAACCGCTTTCAACAAAACTGTATTGCTCCCAAATGATTAGTATGCAACACAACTGACATATTTTCATTTCTCCGGCTCATAGGTCATAGTTAAGAAAAAGCATGCACTAATAAGACTGGCGCACACTTAACATGCATGGTCAATACAATTCTTAGCCACCAATTGTAGTTAAATTTTCAAATATTCACAGAGAAAGAGGGGGCAATGAATTTCAAGCACATTTCTGAACAGCAATGAATTTCAGAAACCCCAAACTGGGAAGGTCTCTGTCTGAAAGCTAACAGCCAACATACACAGTTGCACACAAACCATTTAAATACATATAATAATGGTACTCAAATTATACCTTCGCTGGGCGCGCTGATTTTACGCCTAATGATCCCATCTACACTCCAGTCACGTACATTTGGAATACAAGAAGTGACTGGAAATAGAATCTCAACATCTTCACGCCTACCAGAGCGGGCAGCAATTTCAATAGGAGCTCGTCCTAACTGCCATGATAACAAGCAGGATTAACTTCACCCAGTATTTGGCAATGGAAAATGACAAAATTGCAGTACCAAGACATATGAACAACCATCGGGCACATACACATGGTATAAAATAAAATAAATTCTAGAGATCGGCATAACATTAAGTGCTACAGAAACTTTGTAGCGTATATTGTAGCAATGAGCACATAAACATGTGACAGGACAGCAACCACAACTCAAGAACTATATTTTTAACATATGTGATCTAATACTACCCTGACAACTTCTAGGATGAAACAGAGAAGTGGTAACTCTTCCTGGTATTTGCAACCTCTGCTTCATTTTTCCTCCAAAATGGTAAGAACAACTGTTATATTTTTATCCCAACAACCCAAAGTTCTTTGCAAGTTCCATGTAGAAAATTTTGTTCGAAGTGGAAACTCTAAGGTATGTTCTTCCAATCTAGTAGATAGCCTAGAACCATCACGTGCCTCTCCAAATAATAAAATAGAACAGGAGACTGAATTTCAAATGTAGCTTTGATGTTTCGTGTATTTTATTTTACCCTACTAGGATAAATCTAGGCACCCAAAATACACACAAAATAGACCTGCCTATAAGCAAATTCATCCAGATGTTTGTCTCAAGTTAACAGTTTGAAATGAAAAACCAAAAATGAACTTTTACTAGAATATCTTATATTAGGTATAGACACGAAAGCATGCATGTAACAGCAAGGTACAACAGCTTACACTGTCAGGAACATTAGCATCCGCACCAGCCAGAACTAAGCACTTCAGGATTTCAGTTGAGGCACTAATGGCAGCAATGATTAATGGTGTCTCTTTACAATTACCATCCACATCAGCACCAGCCTAACAATAACAAATCTGGGTTATATTCTTCATACAACACACATACAAATTGCGTCATAATCATTTGAAGAAAAATAAAGAAATTAGTTGAGTGACATCCTCTTTTTTCATTATTACGTAATGTGTAAGTTGATGTACGAAGTAACATACCTCAAGCAGGAGCTTCACACATTTCAGTGAGTGCACAACAGTAGCACAATTGCAAGAGCTGTATAACCAGTACCACCCAAAGCTATCTTATGCTGTTGAGAGATTAAGAAATTAGAAATCGCGTATAACTAGAACTAGCATACAACTTAAAGGAGGGGAGGGGTCAGGACCATGTTACTGTGAGTAAAAACTAAAGATGAAATAACAAAATTAGCATACACAAACATTGCAAAAGTAAATGAATTAGCTTCTCATATTATCTATGTAAGTTGATGAATCCTCATCATCCGTGATCCTTCTGGGACGTCTGTGACCATTCCTAAAAATGCATACGAAAGAGAAGTAGAAAAAATAAGGGCAAGGCTGAGTTTCCAGCACAGTAAATCCATGGACATACAAGAGGCAAAGCTAGATCTTAACAGTTATTGTGCATTGAACGTCAAGCACTAATAAAAATATAGGAACGCTGCAAAGCAAGATCTTACTGATGAACACACTAGAGTGATACTGTGTTAAATGATTGGTAAGCATGCTGAATTCAAGTTGTCAGACGTATCATGCAACGATGGTAGAAACTGAGATTATGCATGGATAATGCCGAATGGTGCTCGGAAGCATTTGCTGCCTTCTCAAATAATTTTTTTGTTCGTTCTTCAAAATATTCTCACATGTAGATGACTCCTTATCATGTTCAAATTTCATGTTTTATGAAAAGTTTACGTTTTCTTATTGGCGTGGAAAAAAAACAAGCACCTACAAAAATGCCTTTTTAGCTCCTGATTCCTGTGTTTTCATGCAAACTACTCCCTCTGTATCAAAATATAAGACGTTTTTAGGCTAGTTTAGCCTACAAAAACGTCTTATATTTCGGTACAGAGGTAGTACAAGTCAAGAACAAAATTACTAGCACTTGAGGGTACATGATTCACACGTATATACATGCAAGATTTTTATTCTTTGAATTTTTGGAGGAAAAAAAAGAACATGCTAGGAAAAAGAAGCATGTTGTACAGCCAAGTCTCTAGAATCCACCAACCTAAAAAAAAGGCTTCTACACTCCACCTGTCACTGGTGGAATGTGTGCAGTGAAGCTGGGAAAATCGGTGGCTGGGCGCTCAAAAGGATACTAAGGGTTGATTAGTAGATGAGAGAAAATGAATTGGCTTGAAAAAACATCAACAATGTTACTCATATTAGCAAGAAAAATATATGAATGAGAATAAGGTTTGAAAACTGGAGCAGGTGAAGAGCCAGACTCCACGTGTTTATAGCTTATAGCTAGAAGGAATAAAAACAACAAGTGCAACATGACAAAGCCAGCCACATGAAAAAAAACTCAAATAGGATAAAGTTGATGGATAAGGAAACACTGAAATAAGTATATAAAAAAACTATATTGTCGATCTTACCATTCTAAATAGCATGAAGGTTCAGAAAAAGTAAAGATGGGATTGACACTTACATCTGCATGGTGTTCTAGCAAAATTTTCACAATATCATCCCGCCCATTACGTGCAGCAGAATGCAGTGCCGTCCCACCAAGATGTATTGCATCAACATAAGCTCCACTGGAGAGTAAGAGCTCAACTATTTCACAGCTTCCTGGATAAAAATAATACAGGATATATCTTTAGTCAACTGTAGATTTTTGTTGTAAGTCCTTGTATTCACGCCATCCTATCTAACGATGTGCTAAGAAACAAGTCTAAATTAGAGGACATACTGAAATACAGAGTCAATATGGCTTGTGAATTGATTGAGTGAGTATGCATGACGTGGACAAAAGGGCATTTCAAAAAAATTGGACTTGGCTAAACTAAATTAACAATGTCATGAAAAAAACAGATGGCCTGCTTGTTATATTTTCTCCATGATATGATGTCTATGGGGGAAAAGGAAGAACTTTCGCATACAGGCAGCACCATACTCACTTTCCTCGGATATTTGCCACTACAAAGAATATTCCGTCAGAAATTTTTACTCCATGTCTCACGGATATATGGGTCCTCACGCAGTAGTACACAGGGAGATGAAGAACACTTTATGAGTGATACTTATGCGTAGAGATCAATACTACCTTCTGCAGCAGCAAGGTGGAGAGGAGTACTCCCACTGTCGTTGAGCTTCATTGTAGCAGCACCTTGATCAAGAAAGTAACGCACCAAATCCACATTCTGACGGCCAATCGCAACAGTCAAAGGTGTTTCGCCTGTCAGGGACAACAGAGCAGAGAAGCTTAGCACAAACAAATTCAGCCCATCCAAGGAAACACCTACCTGGATGAACGAGAGCTACTCTCTAATCGACGAAAGCTACTCCCTACTTATTACGGAAAGGAAAGGAAAGGAAAGGAGAGAACTTGAAGGAAGGCGACGCACCCATCGGGCCTACGTCATCGACATCCAGCCGGATGTCCTCGACAAGGTAGCGCCGTAGCGGCACACGGGCAGGCTCCCGCCTAGGGCCGCGGTCTGCAACAAGCCCATGCCGTAGCCGTCCCTGACCGCGCCCATCTTCTCAGCGAGGCGACTGCCTTCCGCCCCCCTTCCCACCACCCTCGCCGCCTCTGAAATGCAAAACGAATCGGCGCCAAAATCAGCACGGAAACAGACGGGAACCGGAAAATGAAGAAAGTAATCGCAGACGCGGACAGAGGGAGGTAGTACTTACTCTTGACGAGGTGGAGCTCGCCGTCGAAGGCCGCCTTAGGAAGCCCTGGTCGAAGGAAGGGTTGGAGATGCGGCTGGGGTCCCATGAAGGGAGGCCGCCGCCGCCGCGGTCGAAGGCAGTGGGAGGGAAGAGAGGCGGCTGCGGTGCCATGGCAACGGGGTTGGCAGTACTTACAGCGTAGGAGGGGGCAGACGGGAAGGGAGTGAGGGCCAGTTCTTCTGACCCCTCCTCAGCTTTTTCCAGAACTGTCATTTCATCTTTCTTTACAATTCCTAGCTAGTTAAGGTCTAATTAATTAGAAATTGTAAAAAAATATAGAGTGACAATTCTAGGAGAAGCTGGGGAGGGGGTTAATTCTGGAAGAATTGTCCAAAAAACTGGCCCGAAATGCTGTGGAGATCGGGAAGGACGGCGTGTATGAGGACAGATAGAAATGGGGCGTGTTTGGTTACAGAAAATTAGAAGACCTCAGTTTGTTTCAAGGAGGTAACGACAAGATTGCCTCATCCTAGTAATACTTAAAGTCAGTTTGTGTTAAACTAGCAATTACTAAATTTTTTAATTATAAGATATAATAGATAGATGTCAAAATGATTCTCATGAGATGAAAATAGAACTAAGGTTGTATATTTGATACGGCTCAAGGTAATTTTATCGATCGATAGGATGCTAGTAAGTGAGCAAACTTCAAAAGATCATTGAAACAAGCATAATGAAGTTGAAATCTTTGTTATGATGAAATGGTCAAATAATTTGATCTCATCGAGAAAAGTAAAAATGCTTGTATTTATAAGAAAGTAAGTGGAGCATAATAATACTTCCTTCGTCCGAAAAAATTTGTCCCTCAAATGGATGTATCTAGCACTAATCTGATGCTAGATACATCCATTTAAGAGACAAGCTTAGGACAAGCTTTTTCAGACGAAAGGAGTATTTCTAAGGATCTTTTACATCTGTGTCTCTAACTTGAACCCATTACTCATATTTACCCTTAATTTTAAAGCGTGCTCAAATTTGCCTCTTTGCCGTCAAGTCACCTTATAGGGATACCCTTTCGTGTCGTTATCGTCCGGTCAAAGGAGTTTGACCATCTGGTGAACAGTAACTCCGTGAACAGTAAATTCGAAAAAATAGCAACAAAAATAAAAAATCTGAAATTTTATGGGAACGAAGATACTCGAGTACGCAAGGTGCGTGCAAATTTTCGTGGTGTTGGACATTCCATGAGCCCGTGAGAAAGGAAAGAATTTAATATGTATGCTTGTGAACAATAAATTTTAAAAAAATAGCAAAAAATACAAAAAACCTAAAATTTTGCAAGATCAAAGACGCTCGGGTGTGAAAGGTGAGTGCAAATATTTTGTGATCAAATGACATGGGAGGAGCTGTAGTAAAAACAAAATAGTGCATTTTTAGCCAAATTTTGATTTCTTTTCTTGACGAGCTCCTGCAATGTCCAAACACCACAAAAATTTGCACGCACCTTGGACACCCGAGCGTCTTCGATCTCACAAAATTTTAGATTTTTTAATTTTTTGTTAATTTACTGTTCACAAGTATACAAATTAAATTCTTTCCTTTCTCACGGGCTCGTGGAATGTCCAAACACCATAAAAATTTGGACGCACCTTGCGCACTCGGGTATCTCACAAAATTTCAGATTTATTTTTTTTTTTTGCTATTTTTTGAATTTACTATTCATTAGACGGTTAAAGCCCTTTGATCGGAGGGTAACGACACACAAGAGCATTTCTATAAGGTGACTTGACGGCAGAGGGGCAAATTTGGGCATGCTTCGAAATTAGGGCCAATATGAGTAGGTGGTTCGAGTTAGGGACATAAATGCAAATTGCCATATTTCTAAACACTATGTGTACTTGACACTTTGTTAATTAGAATTATATGAATTTCTTGACATAAATTAAGACTTTATTAAACTAGTTTTTCAATAAAGTACGTAACCAATATATAGTCCTAGTATTAGGCATAATAATCTATGGAGATAGTAGTGTCTAATCGGCCTTAACCAAAATACGTATTGACAAATATTAAAAGCAGTTTAGTATGAAAACGTGAGGAAGAGTTTCTTTTTTTAGCATGTGAGGAAGAGTTTCTTGTCAAAGTCACATGAAAGAAGTTCTTAGCAACAATCGGTATCTTGAAATACTGACGAGTGAAATACATGATTTTAATCACACTTGTGTTAATTTCATGGTATGCATATAAATAACCAAATATGATCATACTCGAAGTAAGTTGTGAGTAAAGTTACCAAAATGGTCAAATTGTTGATCATAGGACAGTGAAAATGTCATCAAGTATTGATGACATGTTTCTTGCATTAGGAGAAAATGAAAAGATTGTTGTAAGGAGTTGCGTCAAAACAAGCTCATTGTAAGTAGTACATCGATAAAACCTTCATCTATTCTCCAAAGCGATTTTGATTTCAAACTAAATGATTTATGGTGGCACGGTAAGTTAGAATTGGTCCAAAAAGTCAATGTCTTAAATTCTGTTGGAACTTGGAAGTATGCCCTGGAGAAATAATATTGTATTATTATATTTCTATGTTCATAATTTAGAGTTTATATTCTATACTATAACTGCTATGATCCTGGAATATATGATTTAGTGCAAAAATCATATGCACGTGTAGAATGGTAAACGGTAAAATAAGATTCCTAATCCCGCCTCTAAGACTAGCTCAAGTGTTGTTGGTGATTATGTTTTCTGGATCTTGAGATATCGTTAAGTGTAACGATAGTATCAAAACAACATTGAGAGTATGAGTTAGAAGAACGATCATACTGAATCGATCCAAACTTGTTTGTTATACTTTGAGATAATATCGTCATGCGTCAATTGTTATAACATGGAGTGTTAACTTGTGATTTTAGTTCCTTAGACCATGAGAGTATCATTGTCACTTCTTGTCGTACGATCAGCTTTGGGGTTGCTCACACATCATGACTAACTTGATGATCATAACGATAACTTATAGGTTCATCGGAAAGTTTGACAAGGGACATGATAGCTCGAGTGGAATTTGCTCCTCCAACGATGGAGAGATATTCTTAGGGCCCTTTCGGTGTGACGGCATCCATCATCGTCTGGCCAGACACAGGTGACTTCATCACGGGGGTACCAGAACGCGACAACGAGAAAGAAGAACAAAACCGGCAACAAGGAGACCGATATAATGAGCATGTCTATGACTCAATAGGATACTGATATATCTCACCTCGAGTTTTGTAGGGTATCACAAAGCAAAGGGAACATCACATGATAACCAAAAGGTTCACTCGATTGTCATTCGTGTAATCATAGGGATCGATATGGACGTCGAAGGTTCCGCTATTGGTCATTGAACGAAGGAGGTTTCGTTCATGTCTATGGTTTACCGAACCTACATGGTCACAAGTTTAAGCTAATCACGATTTGATGAGTGTTAGTAGGACGAGAGTATCGAGGATTTATTTGTGAAATAGTTTTGTTAATATTCAGAATAGTTCCAAGAGGATCCGGAGGTGTTTCGAAGTCACCAGAAGGGTTTCAGAGTTTATCGAGCAATACCGGGTATTACCGATAATCAATATATAGGTGGAAAATGTTTCTGTGATCTTAAATTATATATAAAAGGATCTGATAATTGTTAGAAGGCTTTTATAAATAATTAAATATCAACGGGCCTTAAAAGGCCAAGAGGAGGAAGGCAACTCGGGCCACAAGGGCCCAAGTGGAGGAGACGCATCCTCTTTCGATAGGGGGAGACTGAATTTGAGTGGGGGAGGAGTCCCCCTCTTGGCCGCCACCCCAAGGAGGGTATTTCCCTCCTTGTTGGCTTCCCCTCCTTCCCCCTCTAACCTATATATAGTGGAGGTATTTGCCCTTTTCTTCATACAAGTTTTAGGTGCCTCCTCTAGCCCAACACTACTAGTTCTAATTGAGATAATTACAGCTAGTTATATTTCCTCTAATTATCATAATTAGAAGCCCCGAGTGGTTCTAATATTCTCCTCTAATTCTCAGGAGGAGATTAGTTCTGGACGGCGAAGCGCTGCCGGATCATGAAGACTGCACGCTTGCAAACTTTAGAGTTGTCGTGCTTTCGGTCTTCGGTTCGAGCGATCGTACGAGGGCGGTTCGCGGGATCATTCATGGAGTGTCGAACCCACAAGGAGCTAAAGGTAAGATCAATATTCTCTCAAGTCCTATTTGCCACTAATATGACTCTACGTACACACTAGTACAGTGATGTGCTAAACAAAAGGTTTTTAACCCCTTTCCGCGACGGCATTTGGAACCGTCGTCAAGTGAGTGTGTGTGATAGGGTGTCCTTCCCACACGACCCAGAAATCGTCGGGGATAGACCCACCTGGGACTCAGGCTGGGGCCGTGTGCGATCGGGCGGGGTATCGAAACCCAATAATTTCCGTAGGTATGTATATCCCACACGGTAATCCGAGAAAATCATTTCCGTAGGTATGTACATCCCACACGGTGAATCTTAGAAAAACATTTCCGTAGGTATGTATATCACACACAATCAATCAAAGGAATTCATTTCTGTTCTTATGTACATCCCACACAGTCAATCCAGGGAAAACCTTTCGGTTCGTATGTATATCACACACAGTTCTGTGTGTGGATACGTTTGTGCAAGGTGGCCTAACGCAAACAGTTCGCTGCCGGAAGCCGTGTGTGATTGTTAG